TCTATATATTTTTCATTGTCCAGCTAATTTCTTTCTATTTTTTAGTAGAGACGGGGTCTCACTCTTGCTCAGGCTGGTCTCGAACTCCTGAGCTGAAACGATCCGCCCGCTTCGGCGTCCCAGAGTGCTAGGATTACAGGCGTGAGCCACCGTGCCAGGCCTAACAGCAACTTTTGAGATGGCCATTTTTCTACCCTGTCATCAAATAAAAGATGCTGTTGATCATTTTCATATTGCTAATCTTGTGGGGAAAAACTGTGTTCTGTTTTAATTAGCTTGTCTCCCTCTGTTTTCCTTGAGGTGGCACGTGATTTTGTGTGCTTATTGACACTTGCATTTCCTCTTATGTGCATTGCCCTTTCACCCCCTTCGCCCATTTTTCTATTGGGTAAGCCCAACAATTATACCCATTTCATGGACGGGTAAATGGAGGCTTAGAGAAGGGCTGGTACTTGTCCTGGTCATGCAGCAGGGGGAGCTAGGGCTAGGAGAATGGGTACTTGCTGCTGCTTTGACCCTTGTATCTATAGGGGTGTGTCCACCTCTGTCCCTTTGAACTCTGAAAGCACAGGGACCAGGCCTGCTCCATTCACTGCTATCTCTAGCACCCCGCCAGGCACTGGGGACACAGCAGGGAACAAAACAGAAAGAGAGTCTTGCCCTATGAAGCTTCCTTGAGGGGTGGGTTGTGATAAATCTGTGTTTCTTTTAGTGTAGTGATGGATGAAAGTGAATTTTCAAGTTTGCCAGGAAAAGCCACTGCTTATCAGGCCCTTGGGAATGTTTGCTCCACCCACCTCCATTCCTTCAAGGGGCAACTGAAGCCAGAAAGGGGAAGGGACTTGACTAGGGCCACACAGGCCACTTAGCAGTCAAAGTCATTGACGTAAACACGGCTGACCTTCCTTCCTTTAAGATTTCAGAGCTTACAAGAAATAACAGTGAACACTTATTGAGGTCTTATTACATGCCAGACTTTACTCTCACCACTTTGCGTATACTGACACTTAATCCTCACAACCTCCTGAGATACTAGTATTATGCCCATTTTACGGATGGAGAAATGGAGGCACAGAGAGGTTAAATAATTATCTGAAGCTCATAAGTGGCAAAAACCAGGATTTAAATCCAGGAAGCCTCTCTCCAGAGTTCATGCCCTTAGCCACTGCCCCTACATAGCTTGTTTGCTATATACATTATCTCTAAAAGGATAACACAAGTAACTAGTCTCAGGAAGGGAAGATGGCGAGGCTGTTAACATAATAAATAAATTCTATAGTTTGTTAAAGTTGGTAAGGGCTATGGGGAAAAACTGAGCAAAGGTAAGAGGGAATTGGGTGAGATGGGGAGAAAGGGAGTTTGCAATTTTAAGTAGAGTGATCTGATCGGGAACGGTCTCATTGAGAAGGTGACATTTGAACAGAGACATGCAGGAGGTGGGAGGGCGAGGCTGTGGATATCCTGGGGAAGATCATCCCAGATAGAGCGAACAGCCAGTGCAAAGGCCCTGTTGGCAAAACAGGAAAGAGGCCAGTGTGGCTGGAGTGCTGGGAGTGAGGAGGTGAGATGGATTGATGGTAGGGACCACAACACTGTGGGGACTTTACGGGCCACCGTGAGGATTTTGGTTTTTAGAGTTTACTCTGAGTGAGGTGGGAGTCACAGGAAAATTTTGAGCAGAAGAGGGATTTAGTTGTTTTTTGTGTTTTTTTTTTTTTTTGAGGGGAGGAGGTTAACGGCTCTATTGAAATATAATTCACATACCATAAAATTCACTCCTATAAAGTACACAATTTAATGGTTTTTAGTATATTCACAGAGTTGTGCAAATGTCACCAGGATCACTTTCCATTACCCCCTAAAGAAACGCTGCACCCCTTAGCTGTCATCCCCCAATCTCCCCCAGCCCCTGCCAACCACTAATCTACTGTTGTCTTCTATAGATTTGCCAGTTGTGGACATTTCATATAAATGGAATCACACAATACGTGGCCTTTCATGACTGGCTTCTGTCACTTAGCATGCCATTTTCAGCGTTCATCCATGTTGTAGCATGGATTTCATTGCCAAATAATATTTCATTATCTGGACATACATTTAGTTTGTCCATTCATCAATTGATGGACACTTGTGTTGCTCCCACGTTTTGGCTAATCAGAGCTCAGTGTTGGATGCGTTGAGTTTGAGATACCCGCTAGACAACCAGGTGGAGATATTCAGCAGGCGTTGGCTATTGGATCCTGCAATTCACTGTTGCCTTTCGTTGATCGTTTCTTGAATAATAAAGCCAGAGCCGACTCTCGATCCAGGGTCTCAGTTTCTTTCTCCAAAAAGTGGGGACAATAATACCATCAGGCACTAGGTTGTCATGAGGCTGGGACATAGGGCAGGAACTAACGTTATCCGTAGGGTGGAAAGACGGCTGGGGTGTGCAGCTCTGGAGAGGAGGGGAGGTTATGCTCGCTTCAGGCAGTGTCCGTCTGTCTGTCTGTTTCCCCCACCGCCCCAGCCTGCAGCCGAGGTCGAGGAGAGGAGGAGGGAAGATTGGGTTGTCACCTTGTCTTCCCCCGCTCTAAGCTGGTTTTCCTCCCTGGGGGCTGCCCAGGCCAGAACTGCTGATGGAAACCAGCTGCGGGAGGCGCGGAGGCTCGGCGCGCTCCCAGGCCCCTCCTCGGCGCCGGCAGACCCCGATGGGAAGGGGGAGCGCCTTGGCTCCCCTCCCCCTACCGCAGCCCGGCCTGGGGCCCTGGCACGTCCGGCGCGCCTGATGCTTTCCAGATGTGGGCCCGGTTCCCCTCCCCCATTTGGTCCCGTTGCTCCCGCAGGGGAAGGGGGGAAGGGAGCCAGGGTCTGACACCCCCCTATCAAATCGCTACCAGGGACCCGGGCCGGTGTACCCTCCCGCCTGTCTCGTTTTCCGGTCCAGGCGGTAAAAATCGAATCGGTGTGGGCTGATTGCGGTAGAGACGCTCCTCCCCCCACCTCCATCTCTTCCAAAGGCTCTCGCCTCGGCCGGGACGGTAAAGAGCCGGGAGACCCAAGACACGCCCCTCGGAGCACGCCCCCGCCAGGCCACGCCCCCTAACTGCAGCCAGGACACGCCCCTAGAAGCCCCGCCCCGGCCCCGCCCCTCTGGCCTCCTCCGTCGGGTCCCCAGTGGAAGGCGCCCTCTGTGCGTCTCTTTGTCTCTCTGCCCGCCTCTGTCTCTGTCTCTGTGTCTGTGTTTCTCCGTCCTTGTGTCTGACTCTCTACATTTCGGTCTGTGTGTCCTGTCTCTGTCTCTGTGTTTCTCTCTGCAGTCCTGTCTCCATCTCTGTCTCTCTTAGTCCCCAGGTGTCTCCTCTCTAAATGTCTGTGTCCCTATCTCTCCGAGTCTCTTTGACTCTCCCTGCATCTCTTTCCCGCTCTCTAAATTTCTCTGTGTCCATTTTCCGTCCTCTCCCTCTGGCGCTGAGCTCCCTCTACCCCCATGTTTCCGTCTCCCGCCTGTGCCTTTCTCCGTCCCGGATCTCCGTTTTCATCTCCCGCAGGGCCTGTGGGGGCGCCTCGCCCTCTCTTCCTACCGCCTCCTGCGGCTTTGGCGCGGGCAGGGTGGGCGGCTCGGCGGGCCGCCGGCGCCCCCGTGTGGCCGCAGGGCTTGTCGGGAGAAGCCAGGGGGC